TTTTGATTATTTGTTACCAAAATCTGACTCAAATTTTCAGAAAGAAAAAAAATATGTCAGTTTTTCCAGGTACGAATATTCGACCGTTTTAGGATATTAAAAATGAGAAAATAAGAAAAAAACAAAAATTTTTGTGTTGCCCGAGTTACTGTTTCATGTCTGTAGTGAACTTTGGGCGGACTGGTACTCAAGTTGCTAAAAAGACCTCGCTGTGCGGGAATAAGAAAAGAGGTGGTGAAATAGTTTGGGTTTAGGTTCAAATTTTTGCAATGTTAGTATATTATGCGAATAGCTCTTGGATTCAAGCCTAAGGTTGTGCACTCACTTTTCCCGCACGCACCCACTGCTGGATGGAATGCAGCTGTGCGTCTGCAGCCATATAAGTGAAGTGTTACAAACGTTTTATTACTTTCGTTGTTTTTTTTTTTTTTTTTTTAAAGAATCCAATATTCCAATTTTTGTTCATATGAAGTGTTTCTATATTTATTTGCGTAGGCTGCGGTCCTGTCTCGCAATAGTATGCTGTAACAATGGCTTACGCAAGGAGGAAAGAGGGATGAAGGCACGTTGATTTCACTTCGAGGTGACTCTGTAGCTGAGGTGTATTTCTTTTTGAATTTTTATACAGTCAACAGTTTTTTGAAAGAGAGGGGCCAGCTCCCTAGCACTTTTATTTTCCCTTAAATTTTCCAACTTGAAGTTGCGCAAAAAAGTAAGGGCTTATACGGCGACGCTGCTTTTTCCTCTTCTAGAAACTTGCGTACACCACTACATCATGGTATTTTTTATTACATTTTATAATGTCAACTTTCAGAAGCAACCACTTGTAAAGCATTCACGTTGAACACTTCCTGGAAGCTTGTTTTTCGTCCGAACCTTGCACTTCATCGCGGAAGAAAAGCGGAGGAGGGGGGAGGGGAGCGGTTACTCTTGTAATAGACCCCGCTTGGGACAGGCGAAAACTGCCACTCAGTTGCAAAGGTTCGTTTCTCTGGATTTATTAGAACGGAAATTGGCAATTTGGATTTTCTATATTGCGAGGGGTAAGTGGTTGTTTTCTAAGCTTTGCACCTCTGTCTTTCTTAGTCAGTGAAATCGGGGAAGCCCGTCGATTCTGGTACCGGAGATCGAACATTACCGCATTCACTTAAAAAGTTTTCTTGCTTCGTTATTTGTTGTTTCCTTTTTTATCAATTTCGAGCCATCTTAGCTATCTTTGTCATTGTACCTCCTTCTCCGACGCTCTCCCTCTTCCCTCTTTCTCCCTACCTCCCGTCGACACCCCTCGTCGAAACAAGCACGCGATGATCGGTGCTCTGACTGCGAATTCCCATTTGTTTGTTTTTTTTTTGTGAAATTGGCTCATCTACTGCTCGGTTGGAAAGTGAGGAAGTGCTGCGCCAGTTGCTTTCTGGCCTCAGTGCACCTCATCATTTGTTGAGTTGACAGTCGCGGGCCAAAACAGTCCTTGTTGCACGGTTCACTGATTCTCCAGTTTGTGCAATTGCACATGGTTTACTGGTGGATGGGTACCTTCCTCGTGTTTTGCATCCGAGCTGTTGAAGCGGAATCTTGGGACTATTCGTGGCCAGATTAGTGGTGATTGTTGAGTGATTCCAGTGATGTGTCATTCGAGATGGAGGGGAGGAGGGAGGGACGGTGCTGCGTTCAGTTCATTTCCGTGTTTTCTTGTTCTTACTGGAAAAGCCATCATTTTTTATGTATGACTGTAACATCTGTTTCTTTTCGATTCCCGATAGCACTGTTTTTATTTTTATTGCATAAAAATCCTAGAAGTTAACCGTTCATCAACAGTGTGTGCTTTTGTGTTTTTTATCAATTCACATGTAATGCATATCGTCCTATATTTTACGTAGAGTGATTGTGAGCAGACGAAAATTCGGGATATTTCTGATTCCCCGGTGCCATCGAGTCCCTGCATAGAGATGTAAGCATACGTCGCCCACGGTATCAGTGTTCAGAATTCGGTGAAATGGAACTGCTGGAATGTATCATTCATAATTTGGTTTTTATGTTTCCTAGTTATCTGCGCACTTCGGTTGAATATCTCATCAGACGTGGTTGGGGAAACTGTAGGGCTAGATTCGAATCCAAGAAACTCTAGCAACCACATGGATTTTTGAAAGTTTTTTTTTTTTGGAATAGCTAAGTTAGCAAAAATTGAGCGCATGATTTGGAAAAAGAAGGCCTGT